ATGAAAATTGACAAGAAAGAGTGCGGCCATTTATTCAGAAATGAAAGAAATATAATGTATTCTGTATATTTAAACATTTAGGAAATGTTTGAAAATGCTATTAATTATAATTTGACTTCTTCAAAGAGAAGAATTTTTAATATAAAAAGAAAGGTTATGCAGTAAGTATGATTAAAAAAAAAAACCTTTGAAATGTACAGATACCATTCTTATTTTGCAGTAGTAGAATTTGGCCCTCACCATGTTATAAGAGGTCATTACAGCCATTTACTATTTAGGTGATTTAAAAGGGAGAAAGTTTTGATTTCCTTTCATCAGTGAAGTTGAAAATGTCTTAGGTATAATACTCTATGAACTAAATTTACACAATAACAACATGTACATACAACATTTATGAGAACAGTGTTCAAAATGTTACGTATTAATTTATATGCTTTTGTTGAGGTGCTGGTTTTTCAACCATCCAGAAAAGTTCTGGATTCCCATGTCCCAATTTACACAGTTATTGAGATACTTTAAATTGCTTTTCCCCCTTTTCTACAAAATCTGACTACTTGTGGCCCCAAAGGGATTCAGCCAACTGTGCCTACTTTTTAGTTGAATTTCTACACATGAAAGTATACTGTAGTACTGTCCTATAATGAATTAGAAGGGCAAGGAAGCTGGTGGGAAATATTTCTGCTCTTAAAAGTTGCCAAGAAACTGATCTTTATTAAATTCAACCTTTGCATTTTAAGCCTGAGAAGATGAAACCAAATTGTTAAAGTGATGTAATTCTATTTTCCTTTCATTCTGTAATGACAATAATGAAAATTGCTATCTAATATACTGGATACTGACACAATTTACAGTGCATTGTCATTAAACTTTCACAAAAACTCTGAGGCAGAAATCATCTTCATTTAATAAATGAAAAACTGAGGCATATAGTAGTATGCCTTCAGGGTAATTTTGTAGTAGTTAGGTGAAAGAGAAGATTCGGGGACACAGTTGATCCTACAGAGAATAATAGTAAGCTCAGATCTACATTGTTTTGTAAATAGGATCTGCTTTTGTAAAAAATCTGAAATTATTTCTGTTTCAATTGTTAACAACATGAAACTGCTTTTATCCTGGTTTAAAATGATAAGCCAGTATTGTTCCTTGCCCACAATACAGCAAGCTTTTTAAAAAAGCTGTCATGGCTATGTCTAGGTAAATGCATGTTTATTGTTGTATGAGTAGATACAAAACAATATATAAGCTAAGACACAAAAATGGGCCTATTTCTGCTTGCTTGAAATAAAATTCTCAAGTTTGGAAGGACTAATAAAGTGTTTTGAAATGATTTTCATAATTACATTTAATTATATACAGCTAGCTAGTATCACTTGTAGGGTCAACATACATACATAGAGAGTTAATTTCAGCTTCATTATTTAGTAGTTGGGCAAATGACTTAATTTTTCTGAGTTTTAGATGTTTTTCATGTACAAACAGACATTTTATTTGTATAAACCTCATACTGTTAAATACATAAAATAGTACTTAACATAAATAAAAGCTTCATAGGCATTGTTATGTTTTAATTGAGCTGCCCCTTGACCATCCTTACCTGCCTTTATGATTGTTTTCTGAATACCTGTAGTTTTAACTTGTTATTTAAAAATAGGGAACAGATAACGTAAGATGAATATCTTGGCTAAGTAAGTATGCTTTATAACACACAGCTAGAATATCTTCAAATATCTGTCTTTAAATCTGTGCTTGATTATCATTGTCTGTGGTGATTAACTAACCTAAGCATTGGGTCCATTTGTAAGGAATGATCTTTATTAGGTTAAGTGAGGTGGGAAGACCCATGCTAAATATAGTTCCACCATTTTATGATCTAGGACAGCAGAATGAAGGGAAAGTAGGCAGTGAGCAGACTATCAGCATGAATCTGCTTTCTGACTGTGGGGGCAATGTAACCAGCTGCCTTAAGTTTCTGCCATCATGACTTATCTGCATGATAGACTGCATTCTCTGTGAGCCAAAATGAATCTACTCTTCCTCAAGTTGCTTTTTTAAGACATTTTGTTGCAGCAAACAGAAAAGTAACCAACATGCTATTTTAAAAAGAGCTCACTATTTTCATTTATTCCTAAGCAATACTTTAAAATACAAATGTACTACAACATATTCAACAGTACTGTGGACTGTGTCATGTCCCTTTAATATTCTCAAAATCCTACTGAAACTTTCTAACATTCTGCTTTCCCTCTTTAGTGTAAATTAACTTGAACAAACAGTCTTCATGTTTAAACCTCTAGGCTGTTAGGATTATAGATGCATACCATTCCATTCAGCCTACAAGGTAATATGCTTATTTATTTATTTATTTAGGTTTTTCGAGACAAGGTTTCTCTATGGCTTTGGAACCTGTCCTGGAACTAGCTTTGTAGACCAGACTGGCTTTGAACTCACAGAGATACACCTGCCTCTGCCTCCAGTGTGCTGGGATGTTGAGTAATGAGGCAATGTAGAAAAGTATTAGGAAAGTAGTGGTGGCTCAATTTACATACTTGAAAATAAGAGTATTTGCAACTAATAATTAAATTGTGTTCTTCAGCAACACAAATTCTATAAAAAACAGTAAAACAGACAGAAGAGACACACATAATTTAATTAAATTGAATGCTCTAAGTGCAAAGGGCACCACACAAGAGTCAATAAGTAAAACTATCATCATTTGTTGAAAAACATGAAATATGAAACTTTTGTACTTTAGCTTGTTTTATAAAATATTCCAAAAGGATAGAAAATTCATCCACCCCCCCCCAACATAGTGTTATGATTTGTCTGTTCATTCAGTAGGACTGCATGAGGGCTCAAATCAAGAAGTTTTCATTGATTACTTAGCAAAGTATAAGGGACTCTGTACTGGACACTTTGAGGGTTAGTCTATGGATCTCAGGCCTAGGTTTTGAACAGTACTAGATATTTGGGTATAGCAGGCATTTAGAAATTCTGGATGACGACTACTTAACATTTAAAATTCAACATAAACATCATGTTTGTTGGCTTAACTTTCCAGGCTTCAATTCCACAGCTAACATGTTATAAACATTTTTCTACTTACCTGAAACAACTTTGCTATCTTCTAATGATTCTTACCTTTGGGTTATGCCTACCTTACAAGCACAATTTAAGTTTTATTGATCCCTGTATCCCCAGTGCTTTGGTGATTTTATGTATGTATACAGCAAATATTAGCGAAATAACTTAAGAAATGAATGAGTTTTGTGGCAAAAATTAAGGAAACAAATTTCCTGTAACTAATAGGTACATTTAGTTACCTAAGATCTGACTTTGAAAGAGTAAATATATTAAGCTGTTGTTTATTTGGAACAATTTTCAATTTGTACCTGAAAATCTCTGTGTAACTATTACAGTTACCCATTCTGAAAATTTAGATTAAATCATATTACTATGAGGTATGATTAGATCCTTTAAAATACAGTCTGCAATTAGAAACTACCTGTAGTTATTCAAGAACCCCGTAAATATGTGACTATATTTGGGGTTGAAAATTTCCCCTTACATAAAGCAATGATCCAATTTTTTGTGTGTAGAAAAACCTAGGATGTAATAAAAGAAGAGCAGGTGTCCTATATGGCCTACCTAATAACTGCTGCTTGTGAAATAAATACAACTTTTATATTATCTCAGGATCATGATAAGGAGGAATAACAAAATGACACAAATTTATTTAAATATAACAGTACAGAAAAAAATTTCAAATACCTCCAATATGTGACAATTTGACATAAGTGTAACCATCATAGTGCAATTAAGAGGTTATGTGAAAAATATAAATACTTATGATAAAGAGGCACATGCATAGAAATGAACACAAATGAAAAAAAGTGCTCATGTTCCTTTTAAAAACACTACCGTCACTGTGTACATGTACGTGAGTGTACAGGGGTTTGTGTATATGTCATGGTACATGTGTGTATATACCATGAGGTATCATGTACCACAGGTTAGCTTCTGAGAGTAGTTCTACTTTTTCAATGGGTTACGGGGCCCAAACTTAGATTGTCACACTTGCACAGCAAACACTTTTTACCCACTGAGCATCTTCCTAACCTTGGTTTCTATTCTTAAGATATCTTTTTGACAAAACTTTACATATCTAACTTTAGCCAATAGTTTTAAGGAAATTAAACATGTGTAAGAAGAAATGAACTCTCTTTTGAGAACAGATGATGGAACCAGGTTGAATTAATCAGAAAGGATCTTGTCTTTTCCCAAAGTGTATGTTCCTCATTCTAAATGATCAATTTGAAAGTGAACAGGGTAAACGATAGACTTCAATTAAATCCATTCATTTTAAATCATAGGTATCTTCACAGGCAAATTCTGCAGAGACACTGTATCAATTTCAACTATATGTGACAGTATGACCTTCTTAGCTATACTATTAAAATCCTAACGCAGTAGTTCTAGGTTAATCTATGCCCTAAATAAGGTTTGTCCTTTCTAAATAAAACTTTCCTTTACTCAAAGATCAATCATATAGCTTCTTAAAAGAATATAGGACTTAATTCTATATTTTCCTCAGCAAAGCCTATCTAAAAGATTCTTTAAAAATCATTTTTTTCTTATTTTACATATCAATCCTAGTTCCCTTAGGATTAAGAAAATGATTTTAATTAAAAGAAATCATGTTGGTTACAAGTATTTATACTTATAAAACTCTTGACCAACTTTGTCTTCTATTATAGAAGAAACACATGCTATTCTAAGATTTCACATGCCATTCTAAGTTAAAACCTTTGCTAGTTTTTGGAAACAATAAATTTCTAATATCATGTTTTAAACTTCTGACAGTCTACCTAGAAGTACATAATGACACTGAGGAATTTAAATATTTCAGAGTAATCCAGTAGTCGCACAACTCCAAATCTCTTAAAGGTAATCAAGAAACTCAGGGAAGATACGCATTCTTATATATATAAAAGAACTCTTACCATAGGTTGGTGTGCTTTCTCGTCTTCCTTGACTACTTGATCTTCCTTTTTCATATTCATAGCAATACAAGACAGTGTCTTCTTCCACAATGTTAAATCTCTTTCGATATTCCTGATCCAGAAATGAGTTTGGAGATTCAGATCCCTTATGAACTGGTTTGCCCACCATATGTCCTCTGAGGTCTTCACAAGGAAGGTTTCCCTTTTCATCCCTAAAGCAAAGTGAAGGTAGAGGAGATGGGTGTAGTATTAGGACCATACAAAATTATAGGGGCCTTAAAATACAAACAGCATTCCCTTACAACATATTTTCATATCTTTATAGATTTCTTTGAGAATTAGGGGGTTAGTTGTAATTATTCATATTTTGTTCCAAATAATAGGCCCAATAGTTGAAACACTTGCCTCAATTTCATACCGATAATAAAGGACAGTTAGAAATACACCATAGATCTTCTAGCTTCTGCTCTAGTCCATTTTTACTATATGTCATGTCATAGGAAGAAAAATAATTTCAGCACATAAATTTATTTTAATTCAAGGGTAAATACTGGATGTAATGCTAACAATTAAACCATGTGTGTCTCTTCTGTTTTATTGTTTATTATAGATTTTGTGTTGCTGAAGAACAGAGTTATTCATGATTCTATCACCAATATAAAGGGAAATTATGGTCTTATAAATGATATTAGTACCACACAAATCAGTATTATAAGACAAACAGTAGGTCATTAATATAAATGAATGATAATTTTAATGATTACTATAATTATTCAAACTCTACATAATTTCTGAGAGTAAAAGGATGTATATTTGTTATTAATTTAGAAAGACTACATAAAAATTACACATTAGCAATGTTTCCTATGGAGGGAGGGTGGAAAATATGGTAAAATATGGAATTTTTTTAGGAATGAGATTTGGGGAACAGCAAATCCACTTTTTTACCTGTAATAATTTATGGAGAAAATTTTCTTAACATTTTATAGGATTTCTAAATCCTATTGTTGTTTCAAAATATTTTTTAAAAGTTTTACTTTATTTTTGTGCTTTTATTTTACATATCGATCCCATTTTGTGCTTTTTGGTATAATTTAATTCTTATTGAAAATTTCATGTGTGTGTAATGCATTTTAATCAAATCCATTCCTCCCTACACACTCTCCTGCTCCCACTTCTCCTAGGTTCCCTCACATTTATATCTCTCTTCATTTACCCCCTTTATATGCTGTGAAAGTTTTAATGAGCAGTGTTCAGTTTCTTTGTGAGAATGTCTAATTTGGATTTAATGTTTTCTGCATGAGTGGTCTGAGGTGCAAGGTCATAGCTTTTAAAAAGTAACAGATGACTGAGCTTGTAATAAAAGGTCCCTCCTAGGATTAATTAAACACCTTATTTTTCTTATGAAATGTTTTTCTAGGTGTGTGAGAAGTTATTTGTTAAAAACAATTTGTCTTCCAAAACATGATATGAATGGAATGCTGTTTTGTCTTGTCATGCATCATTGTGTTTCATTGGTTATAGGTGTTCCTTGTTCCCCTAAAGGGTATCATAAATAGGTACTACCAAAGAAGAAAGCATTAATTTTAAATCAAAACAAGACTTGTACATTAAAAACTTATAAAGTTGAGTCATATTTTAATTAGCTTCTATTGCGACATATAAAATAGCGAGAATTCTGAGTCAGTCTACAAAAATTCTGTTTTAATATATCTTTTGTTTTGTTTTTATACATCTTTATTACAATGCTTAGATGTTTGGATGTAGAGAATTGTAATCCAAGTATTTTAAATATGTAGAAAGCAATAAATTATATTTTCATATCTGAGAAGGCCGTCTTATCAATTTATTTCTGTACCAGGCAAAAGTATCATTTGTATAATCATTTAAGGTTTTGCTTCCTAAAACAATTGTGTTGCTTATTATTGAATTATAAATATATAACCAGTTCTTAGGAAACATAAAGAACGCCAATATATATCTCAGCACAAATTTCAATTTTAGTTAGCTGAAAGGATTTTTTGAACTAATTGCGTGGTATTTTTATACTGTTAAGCTTTCTATTGAAAAGAAAATGACATTGCATTTAGCTTGGAAACAGTTGTAGTGAATTCATAACATGAAAAAAGGTTATGTTTATTTGTACATTTGCACATTTCTCTATGGGGCCCGTGACATGAATACTAATGCAGCTTGTACCAGAAGGTAATTCAGACATATTGATTTTCTACATTATATTTACAGAGACATTCTTTATGGTAGAAAATTATAAGATCTGGCTTTTCTTATAATATAGTGTTATGGAGAAGCAGCCTTTTATCAACAGGTCAGATTTATTAAACATGTCTATATGAAAAATACTCAATAATGTTAAATTTAGAAATGTACCAAGAAAACAAAAATTTCTAGTGGAATGAACTCATAATATATATAAGTATATATATAAAGTTAAATATGTAAATGTGTGCACATATATGTACTTATGATTTTCTGAAAAACTTAATGTATTCACTGTAATATAAACACTTTTACTTTTCTTAAATTCATATGTGCATATACAAACATAATAAACATATGTTTATGCTCAAGATTAATTTATTCAGATTAAATGATCATTACCCTTGTAAATATTCTTTACACTTAATGAGACATACTAGGGTTAATAAGACTAATAAACTAGTTATTATAATTCATAATTGTTTAAGGACATACAAACTATTTATTTACAACATAGAGAAAGAAGTCTTGTTAAGTACAAATATAACTTGTGTTACATTTATATACTATCAAAATTCCTATCCTATAAAAGATGCCCTTTCAATATTCCTTTACTGAGTGACTAAAATGTGAGAGTAAATACAACTTCAGACTTTAAGAATGTATAAAAATCACCTATAAACTCTATCCATTTAAGAACATAATGACATTTGTACATGAAACTGACATTTCTTGAAGCTTCACAGGCAAAAATCCTTATTATTTACCTTGCACATAATATTTAATCTTACTCTTTTATCATGCCAGGTAATGCATGTAAGATCCTGCTATCGTTATTAACAAAAGTGCATTTGCTCTAATGAGAAGTGCTTTCTAGAATCTGCTTAGAATTCCTGAGGGAAATAGTCAAAGTGTTCTTTAAGAACTGCCTTCATATTTTAGAAGTTATTAGACTAGCCTTTAGCTAGAAGCTGCCAAGAATAACATAACTGATAGTTTATACCTGGGAATATATGGTTCTGCAGGAGGAGGGGGAATGTAGAGATCCTGGAGGGCAGAACTGTCTCTTTTGGTGGGTGTACTGATGGTGCTGGAGGGCGTGGCAACGCTGCTTGTGGGACTTCTAGGTATAAGAGGCTGGTTAAAATGAAAAAGAAAATACATACGCACACAAACAACACAAAACAACAACAATGACACATGGTTATCATTTAAAAATGATCTTTTTATACAAAGTTTTGAACTTGGCTGAAATCAAGAAAAATGTTATTTACCATAGGGATATTTCTTTGATTCCCCCGCCCAAACAAATAATACATAATACTGTTTTCCATGCAGTTCCCAACTCACCTTTTCAATGGTTTAACCATCCAAAATCTATTCACAAAGTAAAAATACCATTCAATGATTCATAATGAGAAGATAAATGTCACTCACAAAATGAAACTTATTTAAATTAACTTTGCCTGCATTGCACTTTTGAAAGGTAATAAAAAGTAATTCATAAAAGAATTAGCTTACTTACATCCTGACTGACATTTGACAAACTATAGTATTATGTTAGTAAGTATGTCATGGATGCTCAGAAGCTAAAAATGGCTATCAACACATGAGAGATTATTCTACTTCCTCTCAACATAAACACAGATAGCCATCTGTTCAGAGCCAGTATATATTACATCAGCAAAAACATGATGAATAAGGTGACATAATCACTTCATCTTTCCAAGCACATATATTACCTGTTATTTAACACTCATCCTTGGTTGCATGCCTAATGAACTCTTGGATTTACGCATTGAATAGGAAGTTGCCTTCTAAAGATACTATGTAAACTGAATTAATGATATATCAGTCTTATGAACAGTCCTAATTCTAAAATTCACAGTATTCTTGTGGATTGAAATATTATCTTAAACTGAAATTCAAATTCACAAATATTTATATTTAACTTACAGATATTACTGATTAAGTATGCATACAGTTAACATTGAAATCAATATCTCAATGCAGTCTCAAACACAAAGATAATGACCACAAAATGAATTGCATCTGCATATGACAAAATGGTGATATTTTAGCCAGTATGAAACACATTTGGCATATCTAGATGATAGACTGACAATTCTACTACTTCAACATACATTGCTGGACACTCAAATAAATGTATATCACAACTACTTTACACTATAACATTACTTTAATACAGATAACCAAAAACTGTTTGAAAGATGGGCATAAATACAATGTAAATTACAATTTGGGACTCCATTAATAATTTTGACCTTTTTTGTTACACAGCTCACCTCAATAACTTGATATCACACTTCCTGACAAAAATACAGTTAAGTTTAAATGTTTTTGAAATCAAAATTAAAGAAAGACAGGAAAAAGAATGATGAAATCTTAATCTTCTCCCACATATGATGATTTAAAATAGTCAGAAACTATACATATCAATTAAATAATTTTATGATGGTATGCAACAAAGACTTCCCCGTCTGACAATATAATTTCTTTGGAATAAAATCCAGTTAATCTATGCCTGTCCTATAGAAATAAAATCTTGGCACTGAGAAACTCAGATGTCTAGAAGAGTCATTTGTACTGATGAGGAATGCCATGAAGCCCAAGGATATTAAAGAAATGAATCCTTTGTAAGGCTGTGTTTCATGCCTATGTAATATTTGAATGTAATACTTGGTGATACATACACATGCACACACATTCACACTCATATTTACTGCAACATGACTGCTTATAGTTTTTTATTCTGTTATTATCTTTTAGCTCAAATTCATACAGCAGTAAAAGAAAATCTTATTGTACAGCACATTAATTTCCAATATTTTAAAATCAATTTACTACGAAAGAAAAACTAATATTTACTATTCTTTTTAATGCACTAGTAAAATAATTTAACTTTAAAATATACCAATAGTACAAATGAATTTCAACCACTTTCTAATAACATAAGCTTTCAATAAAAAGTAATCTAGCTTAAATTTTCATTGTTTTCCCCTCTATTTTAAGGTTATGAATTATAGTTTCAATATGTCTCTCCATTCCTTTGGTGATCTATAGCTTTTATTTGTTTGCTTAGTACCTATTTTTCCCACTCCCCCAAAAACAAAGGAAAAAAGAATTTGCAGTTAATTTTTACAATGGTATTTAAATATACCTTAAATATGAAGTAAAGACCATTAGAAAATTTATAGTGCATACATTTCCCTTCTAGAAGATTTTAGCATTAGCAATGCCAACTTCCTCCAAGTTTCTATATCTCTACATTTCTATTTTCAACAAGGAGTTTATTTTAATGTCATCAGTAATTGTGAATTACTATATTGGAAAATTAATATAAGAAAAAAAATTTAAGAGTCAAATAGATGTCAAGTTTGATTATGTTACCCTGGTGCAATTAACTGAATTGCTTTAAAATTCCAACTTGTTTTTACAGAACAAAAGAGAAATTAGTCAATTCTGTTGCTGAGTTCAACTGGCTATTTATTTTACTGACAGGTAAATCAGAGGAAATATTTTTATGGGTTTATTGTGTGGGTGTCATATGGCTTATCAGTATGCTCTATACCAATTAAAGCTCATATAGTAAATATTCAATTTACAGGCAATTATTTTTGTCTATTACGTGAGCTATTATCACCAAGCTAAGAAGATTAAGAAAAAAACATCAATTTTGAGAATCATATTTTTAAAAATCAACTTTGACATTGGCAATGGAAAAGGTAAACTATATCCTAACTTTAAAAACATTGCGATCAAGAATTGCAATAGTAAAAAATTAAATGACTGAAAGAATTTTAAAATCATTAAGGAACTTCAGGAAGACAATAGTAGTATAACAGCATAGAATAAATGAAGAAATTACGTTGAAATCCATTATTAGTAAATTCTTAATTTTGACAAGCTGTATGCAAAAAAGAAAAACAACAACAAACCATCTAACACTAGTGCGAAAATATATGAAAAATGACAAATTTAGTGTCCCTCAATTAAAAACTAAGGATCTTTGAGAATTCAATTCAAATTTTAAAAGGTATATTATTTGACTAAAAATTCTAAGTAAGAAAATTTACTAAAACTAAACTTTAGCTTCTCTTATACTAAAAACAAATACTGTATGTCATTTATTTGTAGCATTGTAACAGTTATAATTGTACTAATAATGACTTGCACTTTCAGGAAAAAGAATTAATGATTCTTTCCTTCACAACTTTAATATATTTGGTGAAACATGTATAAGAAAAAAAAACTATCATCAATTAAGGACATTGTTTTAAGACTGCATATTGATGTAAAGCTTCAATACAACATGGTACTACAGGATGAAATCAAGTGGGGTTTAGGGTTTAGATACTTTTTGAATTCCCATCCAAACAATTTTATATAGTAGGTCCTTGTCATAGTATCCAATATGGTTCTTATACCATAAATCTCTCCTTCCACAAAACAGACAGCATTCTGTCACAGAAGACCATTTGAGTGTATGTGTACATTTAGGTGTGTATGTGAGTGTATGTATGTGTGCACCTTAATCTAGTAAAGCAAGTCTGATAAATTATTGTAGAACACTTCAATTTATCTTTTTAAATTTGTATGCATCTCTTTAAATGTACAATTAGAAGCTTAATGATTACTTGCTATTGTCATTAGGACTCAGAAATCTACTTAGAACTTATATATGCATTTTCAGTGTCATTTTAAACTACCTTAAAGACACACTCCAAAATGCAAAATGGTACAAATCTTTCCCTGAAGTATGAGTAAAATCTTCAGCCATAACATCTTACTGATCAGTTTATACATTGATGGAGGATTATAATTGTCAAAAATTTTTTGGTTTTTACAAGACATAAGTGGATCATTACTTTAAATTGTTTCATATCTTTTCTTATTTGTGTCCCTTAATTTTAATATCAGAAATAGCACATTTGTGAAGTACTGATATATGTATGTATATATTTATATATTATATTTATATAAATATAGATAGTAGTAGTCTATCTATATATAAATCAGTGTATATGAAATTTCCATGGCAAAGATTATAAAAAAGAATGTCCACACTTAAGCAAATAAATTTGAATTTTAAGTTTAACTTGAAATATTTTATATTATAAAATCTTTGGCAAGCATGTATTTAGTTGTCCCTCAGTAAATGATCCAATGAAGTTAGAGATATATAAGTCTTCAATGAAACCAGTGACATAGAGGCAGCCTCGATATTAAAAATGTTAAATACTGCAATAGTCCTTAGTCCCAAAATTCACTTATGTCAAATTCATATACAAACTTATTTTTGCCTTTCAGGGGTAAAAATATCAACAGAGATACAAATGATTACATTAAGTATATAACCTAGCCATTCATTTTATTTATTCTTAAAATAATCAGACTTCAGCTGATCACATCACCTCAATTTTCTATCACAGGACACTCTTTAAGTCCTTATGCAGTTCAGGCACATTCTTATGAAAACCCCAGTACTGTTATCATTTAGTACCAGAATATTGCTTTATATCAACAACTATTTCCTTGATCATTTTAACAGTGGTCCAGCAAAAATGTTTTCTGGGTTTTAAAATAGGAATTTGCATACAATCTTGTACATTTCATGAATACATAAAGAATACTAGATATAATTTTAGAAAGTAATGTGTACAGTTTTACCTGGCCAAGGTTTTACTAAGTGATAAATTATTTCAACAGATTTTAAGCAAAATAATTGCATGTGTTTAAAAGTTCTCCCTCAGTTTCTCAGCTTGTACTGGAATACAATATGTTAAATACAAAACATTGGTGGTTTTTATAAGCATGTGAATTTTTTGTTGTTCTTACTGTACTACAAAGAAAACAATGTTTTAAGGCAATGGATATGATCAGGACACCTTAGATCCTTGACTTTAAACAGCACTGATATGTGGACACAAAAATATGTGTATTATATAATATACACTATCGCTCTGGATTCATATTACAATATAGCTTTTTCCATCAAATCATCTGTATATTGTACTTATGATAAAGCTAGTATATGTAATTTTGTGCTGTTCAACCTTATGTGCATAATTAAGTGGCAATACTAAAATTGAAGTTATGTGTTCCAAAATATAATTATCAACAATCTGGGATATTAACTGAAGAAACTACATTGGGAGTTGAGGTTTCACTTGAAACACTTTACATTTTAAGATCTCTGAAAAGCATAGCTTAACTATAATGTTAAACAGTTGACATCACAGGTTATTATTTGTAGTCAGTGTTAAAACAGTAAAATAATTTAAAGGAAAGCCACAAATGTTTCTTAGGTTTTTTATTTGAGTGTTTAAACACTGATGAACTATAATTGATATGATAGCTGCTTATAGTTATTTCCTTATTTGAGCATATAAAACACAGGACTACTAGTATTATCCAACCAGAACTATTATATTTTTAGTTAAAATTATTTTTTAGTGTTATACCTCATGTAAAATATTTTTTACATGCTTTTAAAACAATTCATAGAAATGTACAAATTTTCTTTCACTAATGTTTGTTAATAACATCACTTGCATCATGGATTTTGAAATAAACTTTATTGCTTTTCTGTTTTGACTTTTACACAACTACTTTAACCATTTATATTTGTATGTAGTTTAAATTTAATGTAATCACAATTCTATAGTTGTTATACCAATTGATATTCAAAATAGACTGTTGTTGACTATTTTCTTTGTGCTCAAAGTCCTTTAAATACCCTGTATATTGTCATCAAGGTTAATTAAACAACAAAAAGGTTAATTAAAGTACAAAATCACAAACCAACACTAATAACTATGACATCAAAACAGTTTAGGAATATAATGCTATTCATATAGCTTAATGTTAATGTTTGTAAAATGTCTTCAACAATATCCAAACCAGTTTTTTTGAACTATACCATTGATTGGGTTGAGATGTTTTTCTCCACCAGTGATGATTTAAGAAGATTTCTTGGTAGTGTCCAGCTAACTCTTCCATACAACTTTTGTAAGAAGAAAATAACTGCCCATATGTTCTTGTTGTAATGCATCCTAGTTTACTACTACACACTTCTAAACATATACTTATGGTCTATCCAGCACTCCCTGGAATTTATTTCACTGATAGAAGTATGTGACTATATGCAATCACCATGCTTACCCACATCCTGGAAATTAGCAGAGTGCCACTAAGATGATTTGAAAACAGCTCTCAGAAGGCAAGATTCCCCTGTTTACCATCTTAGAATAAAAGGTTGTATCGCAAAGGCCGATATATCTGCTATTTGTGAAAGAGTTGTGAAAGATGACAACAGAATTCAATTTTTCAGATGTAATTAAATTTGGACATTGTTTCTAATTAAGGGATCTTTAAATCCTTCAGTTCTATCACCAAATGTTTGAGAAAATAGAATTGTATTAAAAGAGCTGCCAAATTTCATGAAATGTGCTGATGAAATTTCTCTGTGAGCATGAAGTTGAATTGTATGCTTTTGCTTATTTGGCTATGATTTCCAAAGAATTTCCAAATCAGAATCTGCCATTGCAGTTAGTTAATAGTAAATAGCCCTATTTTAAACAGTTTAGAAACAAATCCTTAGGATACATATGATATTTTATTTCCATAAATAAAATTACTACCATTTTTGTTTAAAATCATTGGTTTGAAAAACATGCATGTACTAATTTTGGCCTACATGTTAAATAAATTACAATAGTCATTCAAAAAATTTAGTAGTTAAGTTAAGCCGGGTATTAAGAATATGAAATAGACACACTGATTTAAATAAATTCCTCCATCTCTTTGTATACCTCTTAATTAATCTACTAGATTGCTGGTACACTTGACAAAAACAACCAACATAATTAAAACTTTAAGTTTTTATATTGATTTATATTTAAATGAATTTATATGCATTCTGGTTTCAGCCAATTTGTATAGACACCAGAATTAAGAAAACAGTAAAAGCTACTGCCTGTGTCTACATAGAGGATTATTATTGCAGTAGATTTTATGGTTCACATCTGAGGCTGGTTCTCAGGAACTAGGAAGAAAAATACCTCATACAATGGTATGAAATAATCCATTATTGCCATCAAACCTCATTCTATTATTTGACTTGTCCTCTCTGGGATAGTCTGCATTTAAATTCTAGATTTGAAATTTTAGGAGTTTGCACCTTTTCTTTTTCTCAAATCTGCATTCTATAAAAATTCTAATTAGGTAATTTCCATGAATCCTCAAGGTGTATTGATTTAAGTACAGGTTAATGCCTTAAGATCAAGAAGGAACTCTATAATGGTATAATATCCAGTCCTCAAAATAGTACTTAGGATCATGTGGTAGAAGAGGTGATGCTTTATAAATTACAGAACACACTCATTCTTACAAGAATTTGTTTTAGCACTGTAAGAAATAACTTAATTTAAATGAATTCATTCTTTTCTGCTTTGCAAAAATCAATCAACGTTGAAGCTATTTTCAAAGATGTTAGTGGTAGGTTTTTTTTTTTTTGTTTGTTTTTCTACTAGCAGTCTTGCTTATCTACAGATGGTGAAATGTGGGCAATGCATTTTAGGTAAGCCCAATCTGTTAAATAGAACATTTACAAAAATATTGGTATATATACATTTACTTATTTAACTTATACCCTCCCAGATTTTATTATGAAAAAGTAAACATAACAATATTCAAAATAATTTAGAAAGTAATGAGGACTCTATGTATAAGTAATGATCTGCTACCGCTTGTTTATTTACATTTAAGAATGGGCCTAAAACAGTACTTTAAAATATGTTATAATTATATTGTAAGCAATGATGGAATTCATTTTTAAAAAGTCTTAGCCCTCTAACTTAAAAAAATTATGTGTATGTATATAATATGTAAAATACTAGCTTATTGATTATTTTACTTTTTATATAAAAGTGATAATTGCTGTTAATATTCATTCTCCAGTTTCTGCTACTGGGAAAAGATCTAACAATGAAATATATTTTGATTTTCTCAACAAACTACTTCAAAGTACATGGATCAACAAAAACTAGGATGTGTTTGGTGTTCAGGTCCCGTTATAAAGGTCTATAAAAGAGTAATAAATTGATACTTAAAGCGGATCATCTAATAACTGAAAGTGTGGGGCTCTCATTCAGTGCTCCCATGCCTCCACACTTTGAAAAGGGATCTTTTGCATAGACATGTCAACAGAAAATTTCAGAGTAAAACAACAAAGTAATTTATAATGGTGTAAATAAAAAATATATTATGGAAATTTTTGATATGATTACAAATATGAGGCATATAGCCTCAGAACATTAACAATCATTAGATATTTTGGTAGAAATAAATATTGTAAGTCAAATGCATTTAGATATATTAATACAATCTACATTTATTCGTTGGAAAAACAGAAGTTTTACATTGAAAATGTAAAGTTGTTAACATTGGAACATTTTATGTGTTTTAATATTATCTAAATATAATGTCCACTTTGAAGCTGATAAGCAGTCAAGTTTTAAACAATGAAAAAATAATATTCATAAGACACCTTTAATGGAGAAGTTATTAGAAAAATATCTGTGGCTAGTAAAGTATACTATTAGAAAGATTACTACATCTTACATAGCAGAGATAATAATGAAACTTTTCTTCTAACTTGAAAAATGGTCAATATTCTAAATTAGATGGGCAACTATTTAAAAAAGAAAAAATCAATTATAATTCCACATTCTGCTACTTTCAAAACTGAAGATTTATGAAAAATTCAATATATTTAAATACTATATCCTGATAGAAACAAAATGTATTAGTTTCTTGTCTTTGTACAACCATAATATTTTATATCTTTTTAATACGTCATATACCTTATTGCCATCCAATTTAATATTTTATAGTGAAGTTTCACAATGAACAAAAATGCAAAACTTCTAATGTAACACTCCCTGGTTTTGCTACCACAGAGGGAGAAGTAAAAAGTGAACAATCATGAGGAATAAACTAGTTAAATTTTAACTGCTAATTTGAAAACTAAATTTATACTCTATAAATTATGTTTATTTCCTGTTTTAAAGTAATTCTATAAACTATCTGCTAGCTTCTTCTAGAAGTCTATGTGATTAGAATGTTCCAAATGTAAGATGATGACAAAAAATAAACCTCTTAATTTCTTTCCATATTTTGGCATTAAATAACTTATGGATTTTTATAAGTATGCTTTAAGTTTTAAAACTTGAATTAGTGTTATTATTTGGGCTTTAGTTAATTTTTTCAGATTACATCACAATTAAGCCTATAAGGATAATCGGTGAAGAGATAATTTCACAAACAAATTTTCAAAAGCATACAAGATTAATTCATATGCTGCTGAGATGAGGCACAAAAAAAAAGCATTACTGAGATAATCTATGGCTAAAATGATGGTGTATGACTTATGATTAAGCTTCATTACCTGCAGAGCAAGGGGCTTCCATCTCATATTTTTCAGTAAAGCTGGTGCTGAGGTAAGCATGCTCTGAGGTCGCTTTTTCAAAGTTAAGATAACACCACTCGGGTCCTCTCGTAGTGCATTCACCAAATTTTTCAACTGCCACCCCACCTGGTAACCAGCAAAATCATTACAATAAAATTGAGGTACAGCACTCAAAGATTTAATGTTCTCACCCTTTAATAAGATTAGTATAAAAAGTCACATAATTGGAGTATCATCCTACATATTTTCAGGATATATTCAAGAAAGAAGTTTTATATTTGAATTAATTAACAATATTAATGCATTAGAGTCCATATAATTATGAGACAGCATAATGGACATTTACCATATCAAAGCAGAGACTAAAACATCTTGCCATTGAAGTGACTTGGGATATAAAGAAATTATATTGCCTTTAGTACTGCTCAGCTGCTAGGTCTATGCCCAAGCTCTTCACTAGTACAATTTAAAAGTTCACATGCCAGAAAATAATGAGCTGGCAATGCCTTGTACTAACAAACCACACCACATGCTTTCTCATCACCATCTTTTAGAGATATGTGATTACAACTGTCTTTAAATTAAGACAAATATTGTGCTACGAATAGCAGGTACGAACACACCAAGGAAACATTCTGATGCAAGGACACTAGCATCAGTGAAATAAAACTTTATCATGTTATAAAGATAGATTTAAAAATGATATGGTAGTGTTAATTCTGTGTAGCATCTATTGGAAATGTGTCACAAATAACCCTGTAAGTTTAATATATCGTGTGCTAAATTTAATGAAGCCATTTTATTTAAATATAAACTCAAAACAATTAAGCCAAATAGTAAATGATTTCAGAACTGGCTTAATGAATATTCATGTTAAATTATTTCACTAATCACCTTTAAAAATGTTTAAATATAGAATTTTTGTTAGTTTGCTTTTAAAATGGATTAGGTAATTAAGGTCCCAGAACTGGCTACCTAAAACTGATAGTTTTAAAGAACATTAAAAAACAATTATTATATTATTTGTTTTTAAAAATATATTTCATATTAATATTAAATATTGAAATAGAGACCCTTTTATCTGAAATCTAATGAAGTCTTATACAAATATATGGGGTCAAAATTTAAGTTGGATTGCAAGAGTAATTCAGTAAATGTTCTAAATAGTGTTGTAATTACCCTTCTTAGGCCCCATAGTAAATAGAAAAGATGTATTTTGTGTACTCATCAAGTTTTTGCTTTGAAGATATCACACCAGCAGGAAAGAATAAGTACTTCACCAAATGAAGCCAAGATCTTAAGAGACTATGAAGAATTAAGCTTGAATGTATCCATTATAGTTTAATGGCAGAATTTTGATATATTTATTGAACATTCTCTAACTGATAAATTCAACCACAGATGAATTGAATTAAGACAAGAAATCAAGACAACAAAACAAAGTTGCTTCAGTACTTAAAATCTTGAATACTTGGCTATGAATCAAAATGAACACTATGAAAAATAAGAGGGCGATACTTTTGAAAAAAAATGCAGATCAGCTTGTATTATGGAATCAGCCTAATGCTTCCTACTTTCTATAAGAGGGGATTATTATATATCTTATAGCCATTCTGATATCTAATATCCCTCTGACAGATAATAAATGTTCGAATACCTGTTAGTACAAGAGGCAACGTAAGTGAATGTAAATATTCTTGCCCCCAAATGAAACCTAATATAGAACTACAAATTTGAACAAAGAAAAAAATCTTCATACAAAATATGTAAGCAATTTATCAATGATAACCATACCTAATTTAGTAAATTAATTAGTAATTAAACAAGCAATTAATAACTAATAGTTTCAACAACTGCATATTCATTTCTGTCTAGAGTTTCTCCCTATTTCACTCTGTAGAATCTACATTTATACTTATATATTTTTGACATAGGTTCTTGCTATATAGTTCTATATAGTGTTCTTAAACTTGTGACCTTTTGATAATCTTCTTGTCTCTGCTTCCCATGTAGTTGGGTTACAAGCATATATGATTAAGCTGGATTTAGTTGAAGACATTTAAAGTTGCGTGCTTTCCTGTGAAATGTTCAGTTCAATTTAATTTGTTCTTTTCTGTTATCCTTTCTATATACTTTTGGAAGTAAATAATTAAAAACAGAATTGCTTGTCCACAAGAAAGTGGAATTGTTTCTGGCAACAACTTTACTTGAATATATGTTAATTTTACCTGAATGTTATTTAATATCCAAATATTTGAGCATATAGTTCGACTATGGTTTAACCAATGTGCCTACTATCACTTAACATAATGTCATCAATAGTTTCAACAAAAGCAAACAAGCCTATATCAAGAACCACATGTAGTAAATATGATTGGTTTGCAAATTCTATTTTCATTATAATGAAAGGTCAGGCCAAATATGTAACATTCTATAATGAAACCAATATTGTAAATTATGTAAATATTCTCTATGAGAGACATAAAACTGTGTGTAGAAAATAAGTATCGCAGTGGCAAAAATATTTTTGTTAAAAATGGATATACATATGGAAGGCAGAAGGAGATATAATATCATTAGAGATGACTACATTACAGGGAATAATTTACCTTCTTTTTATTTCTTTAAATTTTGCCAATAAACATTTGAACATTTAAAGCAATAGAACACAAGGTTTTAGTTTACAAATAGTAGTATTTTAGGTTGGATACTTTGAATTTCATGAGCTAATCAGAAGAGTTTACTATGAATGAAAAAATGTGTACTCGAAGCACAGAGTTAGAAAGACAACTCCACTAAAAAACCAACAGGGATGGGAAATGACATCTTCTTGAATATTGCATTTTAGATAACTAGTAAAAACAAAACAATTTTATTAAACTGGTGTGCTCAGTAGGAACTACATTTGTTTATTTATTTTTATTCCATGGCTGATTTTCAGTAGATACATCTCTTAAGCATTAGGTTCATTCATAACAATTTTGGAATGGACATGAACCCTGAGTAGTAGTTTACATAGAAATATTGTAACTGGATGTAATGACTTTACCATTGGAATGTCTATTTCCTTGGCCTTCTTTTGAACTCATTAATTTAGATAAATTCAAATTGTTTCATAGCTTTAGATCATATTGTTTTATATTATCATAGGTAACAATTGTCTTCACTGTACTAGCAAATGTAATAAGTTCTTACAACTTCAGGAAAAAAAAGATTCCCAGATATATTCCTGTGGTATTATCACATTCTTGTAATCATATAATGAGGTACAAAGAATTCTTGAAATAGATTTATTACCCTTTACTTTATTGAGATAGTTATAGCTGACAGATAATAAGAGAACATGAATAGAAGGTGTGCTATAATGAGACATATATATTTGTTACAGCTCTGAGAAGGTTGGGATCCTCCAATAAAGAGTTAAGTATAAGTGTACAAATGCCAAAATAGATAAACCACACAAATGAAAGTTAATCACTTTTTTTGAAATTAACATTCCATTATCTCATTTATGTTTCTGACTAGCTTTAAAATATAATGTGTGGCAGACTTAAATGATAGAAGTCATATATAGTAATATGAAAAAATAATGGCATTCTTTCCACTGGCTTTTGAGTTTTCATTCAGTAAGACACATAGGGAGCTTGAAGAAGTGAAGAGAAGACATCCTAAAGTTTATTATTATTATCAGGATAAGCCAAAAATTTTGGAAGGAATCAAAGTACAGAAATCAGAGATACTAGGCTTTGAATAAACATGGAAAAACCCACTAATAAATCAAGCAATATAAAAAGGAATTACTTGATTTGTGAAACATTGAGCTCCACATCAGGAGCATTTTCAATAACTTTGCAGTTCAAATGATTATAGAACTTCCAAAGTCACAATGTATTACAGCTCTAACAAGAGAGGTTGGGGTAAAAAAAAAAAAATAGGTCCACCTGTGCAGCAGTATATGGTCCTGTTACATCTCTGACTCCTTGTCCTCTCTTTGTATAAGCGAATTTCCCTGCTGTCTTATTATAACAATCTCTTCTCTCTTAATAGTTTCTATTAGCAACTTCCTACATATGACTTGAAAACCTCTCTGTTTCCTATTAAGTGCTTCAGTCACATACCCTAACTGTGGTTTTTAATACCTACCAAATAATCACATACTAATAGTTAACTGAAGTATATTCTTTATATTTATATGAAATTATTTTAATTTGTATTTTCCTTCTTACTACAGCTCAATGAAGCAATTATAAAGGTAATAAAGTGAAAAAAGGATTGGGGGGCAAGATTACAAATTATATAAAAGAGACAATAATTTATATTCGTGTCAGTTGAATTGTATATCACAGTATCTTCATTCAAATATCTTCTGGCACTTCAAATGAACTCTTCCTTTTATTTTTCATTCACCAATATTACCAACAATTTCCATATAGTTTCTCAAGTTTGGATTAACTTATGGATATTTATCCCTTTTTTGTGCATGTGCATCATAGAAAGATTAGCAATTATTTCTTTTGATTTTCATAATTCTAGACAGGGTACTTACTTGCTAGATTTAAATCTGACCTGTACCTACCTTTCTTCTTCTAGTCTTTTACATATACTCAGTACTACAATGTGCAAATATTTTCTTTCTTTCAATGATTTTAAATTTCACAAAGTTATAATTTTTCTTCTCCTAAATAAGGCTCTCAGACAAGTTTACATTAAACACACCTACAAAGCTTGCTTTCAATGACAAGAATGCTGAATTTTCCTCTAGAGATTCTGATCCAGTAGTTCTGGGGTAGGAGTCTTATGCTTTGCTTCCTAAATCCAAGTTTAAATATGATACTGATGCAACTTACTCTTGGTTCTGAAACCAAACTTTGAAAACTGCTATAGTAAATGATGAGATCCCTGAAGGTAGTGACTTGCCAATGCCTAGAGCATTTTATCTGCATTTAAGACTGGACATAATAACTTAAATCAGTATTCACTGATTGTCTTGCAGTATGGTTATAATGGTGAATGCAGCATAATCTCTGGAGCATTTATGAACATGATGACCTCAAGAAGAGATGAACAGGTAAACAAATATTTAGATTAAAACTAAGGAAAATCTTCATTAGAACAAATACAAGATA